CACCTCCATCTTCCATGCCCGGCACATGGAGACCTGCGCGGATAGGCTCCCCTTCCTCGTTCTCGACTAACGGGGACGCCTTCTTCCTTCTTCCCAAACCCAGAGGCATCGTAGTGATACAGGGAGAGCAGGTGGGGGAGAGGGGAGGCGCTGCTCTGGAGAGTTCTGCTACAATCCAGACCAACAGCCAAACCAGCTGCAGGTCCGTAGGGTGATTTACGTCAGAGTTATAGTGTGGTCCTCCAGACAAGCTGTAAAGCTGTCTCAACCAGGCTCTGAATGAAGGTTCAAGTCCAAACATCAGAGCAGCTTACATAGCCTGACCTGTCATGTCCAACGGCCTGCTGTGGGGGGGCTTCAGCTGCAAAGAGATACAGAATCAGGTTGAATTATAAGTAAGTTTCACTATTGGTGCATATGTATATAAAAACGGTTGCAGAAAGGGAAACTAGAAAGAAAAAGAAAACATCACAAAAACCAAGACACATAGAATACTAGAATATAGGAACAATCATTTGAATACTATACTATACTATACAGAATACCTTAAACGTGCTTGCAATATGTGTGAGCTGTGCATGTTTTAGAAGTGGTATTTTAGTGCACCAATATGCAATATTAGGGACAGCAACCCTTCACTTTCATACATTTACCAAATCAGTTACATCTGGGTTTTCCCATCAATTTCATTCAAACTCGCTGTGTCATTACATCTCATTATCATAGTTTATCAAGTAGGTTTTTATTAGCACTCATTAGCTCTTTATAAAGATTAAAACATTTCCTCAGCTTGGACAGTCAGAACATCACACAGACCTCTTAGCTGTTAGCTGTGAGGCACATTTCCCACTCATCTTCTAGCAACACAAACACTGACAACTCTGAATTAGCTAGCCACTTAGCATGTAGCTCCTACAAACGGAAGCTAATCAAATCAGTGACAGATCATTTCAAATTTAGAAGCGAGGTATTTTCTTAAATTGTTCGCACAGCTGGGGACTGTTAGCTAGCTACACTGTGGTCGCTAAGTGTGAACATAATGGAGTAAACATGGTGGTTCTTACCGGAGTTTTAGCCAACTGTCGTTAGCTCTTCCTGCTAGCTTAGCCTGCTAACGGGGTTAGGGCGAGTTGTCAGAAAATATGTCCTCTTGCAAAGGAAGTCCAATGTGTTCTGCTGCTCCGCTGCTGACAGGTGGACCCGGCCTGGGCAGGTTTTAGGGAGGTATCCCGGTGTGGTGTCTGAGTGTCGGTATGCTGCTGCTGAGGATTGTAGCTTCTGCCAGCCCAGCAGGGGTGGAACAATGCCGCATTCAGGTTCACTCGTAAATCGCCGTTTCCAAGTAAAGGAATTGTTCTTATAACGTGAATACAAGTTGTCAAGATCAAGAAATAAGCAAGATACACAGAGGTGGGAAGGGTACTCAGATCTTATAATTGAGTCAAAGTAAAAGTACTAGAGTGTAGGAATACTTTGTTACAAGTAGAAGTCCTGCACTCAAAAGGTTAATCAAGTAAAAGTACAAAAGTATTAGCTTCAAAATATACTTATAGTACCAAAAGTATTCATTATGCAAATTGATCAATTTCCCCAATATCATATGTTTTGCTTATTGTTGATGCATTAATGTGTTATCAAAGCTGTTAAAGGTGCAGCTAGTTTGAATGACTTTGTATACTGCAGGGTAGCTTGTGAATGTTGCTCCAGGTGTAACTTAGGTCCTTTTTAATTTTTGTTTATATTTTACATCATTAATCCAAAGTAACTAAATGTACACAATAAAGGTACTGGAGTAAAAGTACACGATTTACCTCTGAATTGTAGTGGAGTAGAAGCACAAAGTAGCATAAAATGAAAATACTCAACATTGTACTTAAGAAGTGTACTTGAGTAAATGTACTTAGTAACTTCCCACCTCTGAAGACACAGTATCACAAAAGGTGTTTATGGTATTCTGTAATAAAGAAATATAAACAACAGATTTCTCATATTTCTTTCTTCCTTTTGAGCAATATTTTCTCACACGTGTTAGTGTTGATTACAAGCCAAGTGTTTTGCCACTAGAGAACTAGGAATACAACAGTCTTTTTTGGGTTAAAATTCAATTATGCGAGCTCCATTTTTTGTTAAGGCCATTCTCCTCATGATGCACAACTTGCCATATTATGTGGTTATATACATGTAAAAAGAGTCAGTGTAGTTTTACATCTTGAACACCAGAGGGCAGTGGTGCATGACTGCTTTAGTCATAAACTCCAATGTAGCTTATGAAGCTCACATTTTAATGTGGGTTTTGCTGCGAGTTATCTTTGTGAAACACAGGAATAATGTTATCAGATGGGTTTTTATGAAAATATGAAACAATAGAAGATGTTGAGTTTACTCTACAGTAAATGGCTGAAAAATGGTGCAAGAGGAGTCTGTTTTTTTTTTATGGAATCCGAGTTTTCCACAAGACAATATTGACTAAAACACATTTGGAGCTTAATAACTTCAAATCTCACCTTTCAGCTAAAAGATGAAAAACATTCCCAATAACTACAACACGTAGGCCATAATTGATTAGATATTTGCCAGTCTTTTTAATGTGGAAATGCAAATCATCACAGCATAGGAAGGATCTATCGAAAATGTCTATCTCAGTGTCAATTCATAAAAGCTTTGTCATTAAAAATAAAAATATCTTGAATTCCAACCTGAGGCATTTTAAAAACAACATAAACAGGAGGTAAAACAAGATGATGCTTACACATTTTGTTTGCCTCTAAAAAGAAAAAAGTGTGGAAAGAAAAAACAAACAGAGATTACACATCTCTACATTCATGTTAAACCACATGTAAGAAACGTACAACTCCCACAGGAGCAGGCAACACCGAAATACTGAAAGTGGAAAATAGACAACACTGATTGACTAACTTCCACCATCAGACAGTCCAGGTGAACAGGGCTGAATAATGCAGAGTTTAGGGAATTTCACTACATATTTCCAGAAGCTAAACATCCTGGATCATTAGAAGATACGGGATAAAATAATCAAACACAAATATTTAATGCAGGCCTTTTAACCTTGAGGGTTTGTTTTCACATCTTGTTCTCTTCAATATTTAGCCGGGACACGACTAATGTGTTCACTGGCCGTAGGAGTCAAACATAGCATAGGGAACTAAAATATAATACTGTAAATTAAGCATCCTCAAAGGGAACGAGTGCAGTAAAGCTTTGTCAGTCACACATACTGTTACAGGATATACACATGCTCTCAACATACTTTAGACAGACATATTTTAACTACATATGGACATTTATTTGGCACAAAAAGTCTTCCCACAAATGTTTTATATAAGTAATTAGCTGGGTAAACAAGGTATTGTTAAAGTAAACATTAGGGATCCATTTTTTCCTTCATAATAGCCGTTTGATACCTTAACTCAAACACAAAGAGCCTATCAGTTCTTTTTATCTTAAATGAACATTTATAATGTTAAACACATTTTTAGGTTGTGCATATTTTTTTATTATATGTTTCTAGAAAGGGAAGCTTGGGGCCTTTTACTGGAATTTAAACCCACGCAACCCAACTCGTGATAGGCGGTTGAAAATGTATGGGTTTTTAAAGTCAGTTTGAGATCGGGCCCTAAAAACTGCCGTTTGCTGTGACAAAGAGTGTAGATAACTAAAACACTAAATTGACAAAGAATGTATATTATTTAACGTTAATCAGTTACATCTGGCTAACACTGATCTCCTTCAAAAAGTACTTTTTGGTGCCAATACCGAGGGTCACTCAGATCCAATGATTTCACCTGTCAGGATGTATTTTAGCCTTTACTCGATCTTAAGGCAACCAGAACTCATGTCCTGTTGGGTAATGTAGTTCAAATCACATAAAAGCATGCGTCACTGCACCTGAGGTATTGTTAATCAGCGGGCTCCGTGCTCCTTTAAAAACACTCCAAAAAACTGCTACTGTTACTTTAAAAACACTGAGTGTCCTTCTTGCAACCATACCTGACATGACAACTTTTTAAGTATCTTTATACAGACTTATCCTATATACCTTCCTCTATTTACCGCAAAAAATATTTTAATGCTAGGCTCAGCTGAAAGAGATGGTGTGAAGATAAAAACTACATTTGACAAAGTGCAATGGAAACAGATTTAGCAAATAAATGATGACGTACATGAATCATGCAAGTTCAACATCCACTAAAGGGGCTGAGAATGAGCGGCAGATTAAATGTAATGGCTCCACGCAGCCCAGATGTAATACCTCCTCACGTTAATACAGGGCAAACAGAAATGGGTTATTTCCATCCAGTTTCTACACTGTTTTTCAGCTTTGACTGGTGCTCTAAATCAGGGGTTCCCAACCTTCCCAACAGCGGTAATTAAAGTCTCAAAAATGCTACAACTGCTGTCACAAACTGGATGAATGTGAAGTATTTTGTTAAAAGAGGATGAAAGCATAATTAAGGAGCACTATTGGAGTGACTTTGATGGTTATTGGACTCAGGATTCATTCATTTGGGTTCCCGCTGTATGAAGAAATTAAAGCACGGCGCAAGTGGAAACAATTCACAAAGGGATTGAACTGTTTAAAACACATGCTCAAAGTAAGCCGGATTTTGCCGATGTCTTTATGTGGATTCAAAAGTCGTAAATATCTAAAAAAATGGAGGAGACCGATCTGATCGGAGCAACTGGGACAAATAATCCAACTGAAACCGGCATGGACAATGACTATGTTTTACAAATGCGCTTATCCAGACAAGCCCGGTTTGGAAACTTTACAGGCAGAAGAAACATTTCTATAGAAAGAATTATACATTTCTGTCTTTTTATGCCTTTAATAGCTACTAACTTGAATTTTTATTCAAATTAATTAATCAATTATTTTGTATATGTTATTGTGATGTAGGGACAAGGCTTTTAGTGACCATCATGTATTGCCTTACAATTATATGTAAAACATTTTTTTTAACAAGTCAAGAGATGATATTTGGCCTCAAATCATCTGAGGCCTGGCGCCCCCCCTGCGATCTTTGGCTCCCCCCAGGTTGGGAACCACTGCTCTATATGACCCACTGTTGCACCCTTTTCTGAAAAGGTCAAATGGTTTCCGGACTGCTCCGCTACTTATCTCTATTATACCATTTTCTCATTATTGCATAACGGGTGTGGATGGAACTTGTTTTCATTCACGTTTCATTTTGCAAATTTGTTTGAAATATGTGATATATTTTGATGTAAACCTGTTAATCAGCCTCCACTGAACGCACACACAAACCCTTATGTAAGCTGCTCTGTCAGTTTCCAAGTCTTTAGACGCTCATTAGAGCAAACCAAATCTGCCCTGAGCCTCAGTTGTCCGGTCTAAAAAGCAGAGGAGTGTGTTGCTGGAATTGTTCACTGGTTACGGTGGAAGGATCTGCTTGAGTGCATCTCGTGTGCTTTGGCCCAGTTTTTCAGGAAATTTCACCGTAAAGTCCAGGACCATGTCGCCCCTCTTCTCGGGGCACTTGGAGAGAGGGAGCCCCTCTCCAGCAATTCGCTTTTTCATCCCAGGTTTGACAACGTCTCTGGAGGACACAGTGATGGTCCTTCCATCGAGTGTAGGGGCGTTGACTGTGCATCCACACAGCGCCTGGAGAAAAACAATGTATCATAATCAACATCTTAATTAGCAAGCAATGTTTGTGCGTATCTCTGAGCCTTTGATATTTAATATGATCAATGTTCACTTACTTCTCTGAGGGATATCTTTGCAGGATAGATAATATCTGAGCCTTCTCTTCTGAACACCGGGTGGGGTTTATCTTTTACTACAAACACCACATCTGCAGGAATGTTGCTGGGAGTTTCGTCTCCCTCTTTGGGAAAGGTGATCTTCGTCCCCTCCTTCCAGCCGCGCTTGATGTCGACTGTTAAAATCTTGTCTTCGTTGCGCATGGTGCAGCCGTCCGGATTCAGTCTCTTGCGGGAAATCTTCATCTTTTTGGTGCAGCCCGAGAAGACCTCCTCCAGGCTCACCTTCAACTCGTGCATGACGGGCGGGTCCTTCTTCTTCTCATGCGCTCTGCGGGGGCCACCTTGTTGGGATTTAAAGGACCTTTGGAAGCCACCCATGCCACCCATGCCTCCCATTCTTCCCATGCCAAACTGCCCAAAAGGGTCGTCGATGTCCATGTTATCGTGCCCATTTTGTGGGAAAAAATGATCGAAAGGGCTGCGGCCACCGAAGAACTCAGCGAACATTGCGTGAGGGTCTCCATGGAAGGTGTAGTTGTAGCTTTGACCAGTGTGTCCTCCACTAGCAGGTGTACCCTTTAATCCTGAACAAAACATCAGAGGAAATAGAGGTTATGTTAGAAATATTGGCCATTATATTTTTTCTGAATGTGTTTGAGGTCATTTAGAGGCGGTGTCACCGTTACCACGATTCTCTTATAACCACATGAACCACAACAAATTTGTCTATGTTTGAAATCGAAGATTGGATAGGAATATGTCATAGGACTTTTTAAACTATATTTAAAAATACGAATCTGCTTAAATGAATCCAGCACCAGCCAGGTTCTAGTAGAAAAGTTATTAGTAAGTAACTTTTTTCAACTTAAAAAGGTAGGGTATGTAAGTTTGAGAAACCGGCTCGAGATACACTTTTTGTTATATTCCATGGAATGCTCTTAACATCCCGATAGCAATGAATATCTTAAGTGCTTTGACAAAAATGTCATCTGTGGAAGCCGTAGTACTGTAAAAAGCACGACCAATCATTTTAGCCAGCCCGGCTAAAATAACTGGATGGCCTACCTGCCTGTCAGCCCTCCATCTGTGCACAAACTTATCTCGTGCCCTGATGTGCGCGTTCGTGTGTGTTGGAGGAGGGGCTCTGTAAGGAAGTGGCAGATTTTCTCCGGTCGTGTATTTTCAAATTCTAGCGATCTCGAGCCGGTTTCTCAAACTTACATACCCTACCTTTAACCAACGAAATTGTATTAAATTAAAAAACAAACGTTAAAATAATGATTGGACAGTTGGGAAAACAGTTGCAAGGAAGTAATAGTAGTAGAGCTACTGTTCGCTGCTTGAAATAAAAACCCATGTATTTGAGCCAGTTAAAACAGTATTATCATTACAGTGGCATACTGGCAGGCAAGAACTCGTTGTTTCCAGCATGTTCTCCAGCCAAACTTATTGTAGGCCTACAAACAAACAAACACACGCACAGTCTGGTGACTGAAGCAAGATGCCAGAAGCAACAATGACCAGTTATCAGGACACATTATGACATCACATACACATAACACATTGATCAAGAGCAAATGCATGCTTTTATGTGGGTTTTAAAATCACAAGTTGTATGAAATAAACTGCAGCATCACTTGCAAGCTGTGTGGTGAGTTCAGTTACCTTCTTCTCCAAAGCGATCATAAACGTCCTTTTTCTTGGCATCACTGAGGACATCATAGGCTTCAGCTATCTCCTTGAATTTGTCTTCTGCTCCAGGAGACTTGTTTTTATCGGGATGAAAGCGTAAGGCCTGTTTTCTGTATGCCTTTTTTACCTCATCTTCGGTGGCACCTTTGGCTATTCCTAGCACTTTATAGTAGTCTTTACCCATGTCAACAACCGGTCACTTCTTCTTTCACTTAAAAAAAAACATCATGACGCTTGAGTTTCTCTCCAGTGCTAACATCACACCCAGTGGTCCCGACTGAGGGCCAGGTTACAGCTGTCCCTGCTGCGGACACTAGCTGCTAGCTAACTGTCAAGGTTAGCTTCCCTAGTCACTGTTCGTAGAAAGCGTCCTACTCTTCACCGAGACGATGTCACTCAACTTATACTACACAAATGTAACATTAAATAAAACACCCCTTCAAAACAGCAGCACCCATGTGTTCCCGCCGATGTGGAAACCGTGCGAGGAAACTTCTGGAAGAGGCTGGTGCTGCTGCTGATGATGATGTGTGTCATCATCACTACCGAGTCGAGAGGGTTCACTGCCAGCAACTTCCGGTTTCGCTTGAACCACAACAGAGATCAAGAAGTTTCAGGTTTGGTCTTTGCATTTAAGTTAATGACACGAAAAAACTCTCTAGCAACTCTTCAGATTAATACTGGCATTGTTTGGGGGTCTAGAATATATCCATTACTTTCTGAATCTGGCATCGGCCCTTTTAGTAATATATTGATTGTGTACGCATGCGCAGGTTATAACGTCGAGCTGCTTTTTTGATCCATAGGGAAAAGGGTTTAAAGAAGGATAAAGTAACTTAAGTTTAACGATTACAATTCTGTAGCTTAAGTAAAGTAACTGAGTACTTTTCCCACCACCTGGGTTATTTATAAACCTTACATTTATGACAAAAAGATAAGGTAAGTAGCCTACAGTCAGAAATAATGGGATTGAATTTACCCAACCTATATTCAGTTTGTTGGGCACACATGGGGCAAAATTATTGAATTACAACAGCTCTACAATAGTATATGTTATTTATATTCCCTCTGACAAATCCTTATAAGTCCTATATCACAAACAACTCTTGCAAGTATGTTAATAACTCAAACAAGTAATTTGACACTTTTTCCAGTGGCTCTTGGTACACAAGTAGCACAAATACACCTGAACAAATATAGATGTCAACAAAGCTAAACATAGACATCAACAAAGCTTAACACAAATAAACAAACATACAGCATGATGAACATACATACAACAAACAGTGTGTACTGTCATATATTGTGAATTGCACACACAGGATAGTTGTATGTTTGGTTTTGTTCAAGAAGTGGATGGCTGTTCAAATTATGTTGAAATAAATATTGTTGGGCTAATGTTTTAATTAATAGTTATAGGTCGTTCATGAGTAAACTCTGTTGATGGGAATACAGATCATGCAATCTGCTTACTAAAGGGATTGCACTGTCAGTGTGTATAAATAATGTGTTACTTCAGTGAGGCGGTTTAGTGTTGCAGGGTTATTGCACAGTGATCTTTCTGAGACCGGCGTGGCTAAATTAACTTTGTTTGTGGAAAGTAACTGCCCATGGTTGTCCACTGGATGCACTTGTTGTAAAATGCTTTGTAGCACCCACCAGAGGGGGCCAGTTAAAACAAGTCACTTCCAGAGTGTCAAGGGCGTGAAATGATTTTCACAGCCTGTTTCCTGACTCAGGAAATGTACACAGGCTGGAAGGGGAGGGCAGGTTTGCATCATTTGTCTTCTCTGTATTCACAACTACAGATATCCTAAATGTGCATCATTTGTACAATCTGAAGCTTTCTGACACAATTCAAACAAATATAAACCTCAACAAAGTAGTATCTTTTCTGTGGCTTTTTATTTTCTACACTTGTTGCTGTTACTGAGTCTACCAGCAAATGGGTTGGTTTAATGAAGTTACAGAATACAATTTACAAAATCTTAAAGAAAATTGAGAGATTACACTCTGAGGATAAACCATTTACAAACATTCTTAACAAATCTTGGATCACATCAAATGTTTTAGTAAGAGAATAAGAGGCTATTTTGCAGAATGTGAATGTATCTGCAAGAGAATTAAAATGACTGACAGTCTCAGGATAAGTGATCCCATGGAGCCGCCTTATGTCACAGCATTCCTCTGACATCAGATGTTAGTGATACCACCTTTACGTCAGGATTCAACATTTGAGGTTTTTTTTCCATACATTGATGTTTCTGATCATCAGTGAAATACGTATTAGGTTTAGCACAGGGATATTTCTGATACAAAACTCAAAAACTATCTTGGAATCCAAACAGTGATACCTCTGCTTGCTGCTGGCTTTGACAGCTCCTGCCAGCTATACATAGACCACAGAATTATGCAGTTGACTATGTGCGATGATCAGTTGACCCTGTTCTACTAAAGGCATCTTTGATCTTCTCACAATCAGCATTTTCTTCGCCCTCCTCCTACCACAAACCTCCTTGAAGTATTTTAGAAGCGATGTTGTTCATTTAGCCCACAAACCTTGAACCACGCAGGCCCTGAAATAAACCTGTCTGCTTTTGTCAGGGAGAGGTCAGAAAGAGAAAAGAATACCACCAACACAGGTGGTCCGGGGGAAGGGGGGGAAGCGTTGGCATGTGGAGGTCTTTCATCCCATGGATCAGGCTTTTAAAGGGGGCCGTCACTGTAACCAAGCGAGGAGCAGGGCAGAGAGGAGATGTGTCTTATAGGTCTAATGAGAGCACATTGGCATCTGTCACTGGGTAGGCTAGTATGTGTCTGTCCAAGGTTACCAAGTCGGCGTAGAGCAAATCAGGCAACTTATATTTAGCCTTGCAAATAGCGCTCTGTGGATTATGTCTTGGTGCTATCCGGTTTCGTCTTCAGTGCGTTTTGCAGCGTGAAGGGGGGCTGTGGATCATGAAGAGGCTGCTACTCAGGTGAGGAGCAGGTTCACTTCATGTTCTGAGACCAGCTCTCCTTCCACTTTTTCTAATTCCCCCCCCCTGCTCGTTTGCCTCCTCTGTTGAATACATACTCTCATTCTAGGGGGCAAACGTTTTTATGGTCTCACATACTTCTTCTGGAGGTGGAGAGCTATTCAGAGAGTCCGAAAGGCACCACAGAAGACAAGCTTGAGTTGGGCTGACAGTTGCACTGAGGGGGAGCAGGGAGTTGCTTCTCATACCAGAGGACAGCCAGCGTGCTTGGACATAACAGAGAATATTTCACAAGCCTACTGACATTTGGGATTTAACAGTAACATGGATGTACTCGCCTTAGAGGCAAAGACTGGAAATGCAGGAGATTCTGATAAGAAGTCTTCCTCGAGGCCAAAACCAAAACCTCCAAAAAAGGCCAAAAGGATTGTTTATTTTGAGGTGGAGATTGTGGACCTAAAGACTAAAGAGAAACTGCTGCTGCTCGATAAGGTCAGTGTCAGGATGATTAAAAATGGTTTCTGATTACATTTGCCTTTTTATATTGAGCGTAATGATTTTCGACGACTGATAATACTTACTACAACTAGTGCATGATCATCACAGAAGTGCTTTACAAAGGCACAATGAGTTCTAAAAAACGTGCATGCCATAGATTTTATAATCAATTACTACGGTTTATCACCTCCTGGTACATTCCTTTTAAAGTTACATCTTATGTCTGTTCTAAAAGTAGCTCAAGCAGAGACTGTGATCACTTTGCAGGGACGTCAGAGGAAACATGTTTGTTGTAGCTCAATAACTACTCGGTTGACACTGTGAGCTGACGGGTAATTGTACAGATATTCATGTACTTCACAGACGGCTCGGTCAAGTGCAGCCATTATCAGTTACGTTACTATTGAGCAAGGGTTGTAGTTAGGAGGTGAGAATTCCCTCTTCGACTGACAGGAATTTTCTGTTCTTGCTACAGTGCGTGCCTGTGCTGCCTGCACTGGGCCAAAAGTAGGCAGGCGCACACGATTAGCAACCTTGTATAAATGTGCACAGTCTTGTCAAAAAATGTGAGGGATCTCATTGCAGATGTAAATGGCTAAATGCATGTATGAACATTTTTAAAGGGAATACAAATGTTTGCAGTAAAGATACAGATACTTTTGTATGTGTAGAACTCCATGTCTTGTGAATTGAGATGTAAATGTCAACATGGTAGTCTACTAATGTCACACTATTTAAGTATGTTTTTCTACATTGCAGGTGGAGCCAACTGCCACTGTTTTGGATATAAAAGCTTTGTTTCACAAATCATGTGAGTAAGTTTAAGAAAAAAAAAAGTAATATTTTTACCAATTTGTATTTTTTATTGAATCCCTTAAACACGCCAAGAGTTAAGTTCCTCTCCATTTGAACAGATCCAAATTGGTATCCAGCCAGACAATCCCTGCGTTTGGATGCAAGTGCGTCTGCTTTTTTCACAATAACTACCTCATTAATCCACATTGATTGTAAAGTGTTGTGGGGACGTTTTGTGACATTGTCTCAACTGTCATGTTTTCAGAGGGCAAGTGTCTCAGGGATGAGGAAATTCTGCAGACGCTTCCGGTGGGAACCACAGCCAGCTTTTACTTCAGTGACCTCGGACCCCAGCTCACATGGGGAACTGTGAGTACACACTGACACACAATATTTGTGAACATACAAATGTGTTGCGTGTTTAAGTTAATGAATGCCTTACATTACTGTAAGCTGTTTCAGTAAAAACAGCTGTTTTCAATTGTGTTTTAAAATCGATTTCCCACCTTCAACCTTCCTTTTTGATTCTGTAAAAACATATTTCAAGATAGTGAGGAAATTACTCTTGAATATGTTCATGATCTGATGCTCTGAACAGCAATGTGAATAAATGAAATGAACATTTTATTTTTATCACTGAATTAGAATGCTTGAAGTTTAAATACAAAATATTAAGTTCAACTTACTATTATTGCTTTCAGCTAACCAAATACAGTTAAGTGAAATTTGTTGACATAATTCACTTAATTAAAGTCAACGTTTCAGTTTTTTCAGTGTATCACAGAAGAGGCTTGCTTGTAATGGCCTGCAAAGTGTACACTATTTGTACTTAACATGCTCAAACATGCAAAATCACCGGTATGGCCTTTTAAGATTCTTGTACTTTAAATATATACAGAAACTTTCTCACCCACTCAATAACTCTTGAATACCAACAGACAGTGACAGATAGAGGTGATTTGCCGTGGTTCATTTTTCTCTCACCTCCTGCCGCAGTGCCTGTCCTCTGTCCCAGGACATATAATCTCACAGCTCTATTTCTCCCTAAGGTGTTTATCCCCCTGACCTCTCACTTGGGTTTCACTGTGCCTCTTTACACTCTTGCCCACCCAGTCTATCCATTCCCTGTGCTTAGCAACACTGATACAACCCCCTGCACCCTGCACCCTGCACCCTACACCCTGCCAGGCTGCCGACTTGTGCCACTGTGGGTGGAGGAGCCTGCTGTGCCCCCACAGAGATAACCAGTAGCGATTGGCCGCGCCACGCTGAGCCAAGGCTCTGCTGGAGG